GTTGCGCATTTCAAGAAGCTTGTTTAAGACCTGCGCGAGAAGACGTGAGGGATCAAGGCGACATCAGGGGGAGAATGTAGTGACCAAATGGGGTTGATTAATGATGTCGCGATGTCGAGTGTGCGTGGTCGGTTTGAGAAGGCCGCTAGCCGCACCCGCGACACCCCCACGATGGGCGCATAGGCCATCAATGTCTCAACGTCGAGAAGTTCCTTCTGCACTTGGCTGCTCTACATTTGAGCATGAGTATTGCATAGTGATCTTAGTTAGTACATTATGGCGATGCCAATCGAAACACTTCCAATTATTCCTCTTCGTTAATATCATCTGCCCTACAAGGAAGCAGTTCGAGTGCAGTTTGTGTACAGCGCAGGAACTGATTGTACCGCTTCGTGTTTTCGAGGTTCACAGAGTCCGGGATGCGGTTGAATTGGATTTGTCAAGTGCAGAAATTTACACAGGATTGGTGGGACGTGCACGGTGGCGCAGCGTCATGGGGTCGGCGACGCACCTTTACAACATCAACCGGGCTAGCATTTTGCCAGAACCCCACGAGCAGCTGGTATACACTCACGGGGATGACGGACTCGAAAGCGTCGAGTATTCTCGGGTGAAAGAGCATGACAGAGCGTGGGAGGTCGAGATCGGCCGGGGAATATTACATGCATGCAACGATCTCTTTTGTGCATTTCGTGCATGCTATGGTCGACGAAGCTGACGCGCCCATGCCAGCGAGGGCAACACATTTCATGCCAAGTTGCGACTGACTGTGAAGCTAGCTTCACACGTATTCGTGTGATGGGTAGCATACTGAAGAACCAACCGAAAATCTTCTCCATCAAAGTCCGAACGGCCGGCGATTACTGGTTGGTGCCTGTGTGCACGCGATTCGAGTTCGACGCGTTGTTCAGCTTGCATCGATGAATGCTGGCGCATGCCGCACGTGTATCGATCCGATGGCGGCCGAGACAGCGAAACGATGCCTGGATCATTCGTGGTGGAAGATTATGGCAACAACGCCAGTGACATGGAGTGCTCTTGCAAATGGACGTGGTCGTAACCCCAACAGGCTGCGAGCGGTAGGACAGAGATAATCTAGCCCGGATATGTTCATGTACAACGCAACACAGTCACCTCACTCACACACCTCTAATCTAACGTTAGCTGAGCATCAAGAATCTCTCGGCACAGGTTGGGAGGTTCAAGTGGGGGGCGCGTACGTTCATTCGATCGCATCGCCAGGACAAAATTGTCGTTGGGTGCATTGGGCAGGCCGAACATGTATTGGAGAGAACAGGTGCCACAAGATGTGCAAGGGTCGTCAAGAAATGTATTCCAGCTCGTTTTGAGAGTTGGTGCCCAGCCTCACGCCGCGGTCATGCCATCCATCATCTCGTTGAACTGTGTGGGGTGACGCCCAGCCAGCGACTGCTTACCCTGGATGCACAGTCGCTCTTGCGTCCGTTCTAAATCGCTTTGGCGCGCCGATACCGCACGACGTCGAGCACTGCAACGGCCGCAACGGTCAGCCCGGCAACCGCAGCGCTGGAGATCGCGTCGACATCGAGGCCAGAGGTAGCATATACCGTTTGAACACTAGTTTTTAATCGAGTCTGTCGGGACTTGACTGCCCTGTACGTCCGAAGGAAGAATTGCATCACCCCCATTGCTTCCTCCATCCCCAGTTGCGTTGATGGAAGTCGGATAGGTCAATTTCGTAGCCCACGTGATGTTGGTAGGCGTGGTCGGGAATGCAATGTCGCTTCTGTTGGTCGCGCGATTCCAGCGGTGTGGTTAGTCCCACAAGCAAACACGGACCCTTCTTTGTAGAGGCCCTGCTACAGCGGCCGTATTGGCCGTCGGGAGGGGCGCCATTGAGAGGAAGACAGTGGTGGTTGGTGCAGTCGTTGTCGGGACTGTTGTGGTTGGTGCAAGTGAAGTCCCTTGGGTGTTCATGGGGGATGTTGTGGTGTCATGGTCGTTACAGGGAAAGCGGTGGTAGGAGGAGCGAGTGAGGGGACCGTTGTAGGTGGTGGTTGGGGGGGGACTGGGTAGGTGCAGTGGGGGATGGTGTGGTAGGCACAGCGGGTGCAGAAGTTGCTGGAGGGCGAGCGATCGGGGTATCAGTTGGTGCGTTTTCAGGACCGCCGCCAAACTTCCATTCACCGCTGGGGTGAGCCAGGCCATAGTACCTCTCGAATCCGCTTTTGCCCAGGTTGTCATGGAACATAAAGTAATAGGTTGCGACTCCAGTTGACTGGTGCCAGCCCTTGACATCGTTGTAGAGCTTTTCAGATATGGCAGGATCTGCGAGATGGCCAAGGAAGGAGCCCCCTTGCGTGGGCCACCCGACTTCAGTTATGCGGGCTTTGCCCCCAAACTTGGACACGATCGCTTGCCACCGCTGCTTGAAATCCTGAAATGGGTCTGTCTTAGAGTTGGAGCCCTCACTGAAAAATGGATGGATGTTGGCGCCGACGACGTCTACTTGGTCGGCGAGCCACGGATTCGCTAGCAAATCGCCGTCGGTTTGCGCAATGCCGATGGGGACGTGAACTCCCGCGGCGGCGAGCTTCGATTTGGCGTCTTGTACGACGGACGCGAGCCTGTTGGCGCTCCACCCCTGGTGCAGCTCTTCGTTCCCGATAAAGATGACTTGGACCGCATCCGGGTTGGCTTTGGCACCGGCAATTGCAGCATCCAAATCGCTTTGGTACCGATTACCGAGGAGCCAGACGCCCGCGGCGATCTTTAAACCTGCATTGGCGGCGGCTGTGATTGCGTTCTGCCCACCCACCGCCGTCTGAAAGGTGCGGACGGACGCAAAGCGCTCGCGAATCGTGTGGAAATTCGTCGCCATGTTGGCCGCGTCGTACGCGTCGTAGCACACGCCAAACTCGTCAGCGGCGACGCGGACCACACAGAGCGCGACGACCACAACCAACTGGAGCAGTCCGTGAAGGAGCGATCGGTCCATCTTCCTCGCGCGTGTGCTGTCGATCGTGTCAATTCAATTGTGAGTGGCGATCCCCCGATGCCATTCCAGACCACCACGCAAGGACGACGCGAACGTTCCCAGAAGCCACGCGGAACGTCATCTTGGTTGCGTGTCAACCGAAGGGAATGTAGTTTTCCGATTTAACGTTTCCGTTAAAGGTAGACATGGTGTCAGGACAAACTCATGCGAGGGCCCCGCGCTGGAGGTTGCGCTGGCCCTCGAGGCCCCCCCCGGCCCACCACAGCTAGACCCCACTAGTCTCGACGGTCCAGCGGCGTGCACATGACACGATTTGGGTCTCGCTGGGGTCACGTCGTTGCTACGCGAAGACATAATGAAGGGAGCTTCTGCTCCAGTATCGCGTATCTTGGACTCTGTCGACGTCGTCGTCTTGGTCATGGCATGTCTCATCGAAGAACAGCCACATGACGTGAGAGTCGAACGTGCCGAGTGTGGTCGCATGATTTACCACGACAACGGCTACACCTGTCGGCGGCGCGCATGGCCGGGATAGGATTAAAGAGAAGATGTAGGTCCAACGCGTTGACCCGCACGAAAGCAGCCCGAATTACACACTGGCACCGATGTGCGAAAGAGCGTTCGTGATCTCGCTGGAACTCACATGCATACGGCGCGACGAGTACATAGCGGTGGCAAGCCGATCGAATCCACCGATGCAAGTCGCAATGTACGAATTGGGACATGTGCCCTTCTTGTTGCAAGGCACCGCGTTCTCACCGCCTTTCCGCGCTCGATGTGCAAAGGGACGACAGCGAACGTCGGCCTTGACAAACCT